TAAATCCTATGCTTTTCTGAATTACTTTAACAGAATGCATTGCTTTCCCACTTTGACTATTTAAATTACATCTGCAGTACACGTACTGCAACTGCATGTTGTTTAAAATCGTTTTTTTTCATAAGATATTATATAAAGAACTAATCCCTCTTGAGCTGATTTATAAATGTGTGTGTGTGTAGCCACACATTAAGAGCTAGCAATAATCGGGCTTTCAGAAAATAAACATTTTCTAGTTGTCTAACCTTGAATGTTATTAACTTTCCTATATTACAGGAGATACTACTCGTCAACGAATCAAATTCAGTGATGACAGAGTATGCAAGAGTCACCTTCTCAACTGTTGCCCCCATGATGTCCTCTCTGGGACTGTACGTATTTATTAAATCTATTATCTGATAATTTTATACTATAAAAATGAACTACTAATCTTATTTTTCCTTTTTTTTTTTTAACTACTTGATAAAGTTAATTCCTAGTCTAATTATTATGCAATGAATGTTTAAAAACTCTTTTTGTTTGTTTTGTTAATCCTCACCTGACGATATTTTTTCATTGATTTTTAGGGAGAGTAGAAGAGAGAGGGAAAGACAGAGAGAAACATCTATGTAAGAGAAAAACATTGGTTGGCTGCCTCCTGCACGAGCCCTGACCAGGGCCCGGGCCAGGGAGGAGCCTGCAACCAAGGTACGAGCCCTTGACCAGAACCGAATCTTGGGGCCCTTTGGTCTGCAGGCAGACCCTCTATCTACTGAGACAAACCAACTGGGGCTATGCTGTGATTTTTTTAAAAACAAAAACCACTGCTGTTAGATGAGGAATCTGTATACCTTATTTATTTAGGTTGATGATTTAATCTGCAAGAATGGGATTCCTCAAAATTAATTACTATGCTTTGTAATTTTTTCTGTTCCTTGGCAATTTTTCAAAAAGCATTTCTGCCCAGCTGGTGTGACTCAGTGGTTGAGCATTGACTTATGAATCAGGAGATCACGATTTGATTTCCGGTCAGGGCACATGCCCGTGTTTCAGGCTTCATTTACCAGTAAAGGGACGTGCAGGAGGCAGCTTATCAATGGTTCTGTCTCATCATTGATGTTTCTATCTCCCTTTCCCTTTATCTCTGAAATTAATTGAAATATTAAAAAATAAAAAAGTGTTTCTTGTTTGGAATTCAGACACAGTAATTCAACAGCAATTGTACTTTTAGTTCAGAAATAATACAAGTGATTTAAAAAATAGTTCTTACTTTTGAGCAGAGTACACTTTTATACAAAACACCGTATATTTTTGTTAAAATTTGTGTGCATTTATATTGTGGATATAATTGTGGGGAAAATATATTAGTAAATACTTAAAATCACACAGCTTAATTGCAAGTGGTGTTGTCACTTAAAAAATTCCTTTATATTGCTGACTCAATATAAAGCTCAATTTAGATTCTGTGTCTAATGATGTTGGTTGATCTTAGAGTATCATCATTTTAATTTGGAAGATAATCCACGTGATGATGGACCTATTTAAATGGAGCAGGGTTATATTCCCTTTGGTTTGGATTTGTTTGAAATGATTACTCATTGCAAGAGCTCCTGTTATTAGGCTGCATCTGATGATGGTGGAGGAGGACTAGTAAGGGCTGAACATTTAGTTGACTTTATTTCTCATTTGCCAGAAGTGACTGAAATGAAGGAAAGACTCTTAACTTTGATTTTCAGAAGTGATGAGTTCCCTTAAAGATATCCAAAGTGAGTGTTTTCTTTGTGAATAGGAAGAATTAAATGCCCCAAACAGATAGATATCAAGGCATACAATCTAGAAAGCACCTCTTTTTCCATTAGGAAAGACTATTGAAACTATATTATGTTAAAATGAAAAAAGGAGCCTACATTTAAAAATATGTGTATAATACTAAATTTTTAAAAAGTATAATACCACAAGAAGGAAATCCAGTTTCTGAGCACTTGAGTTTGTACTATAACAGATAACTAACCCTCATATATACTCTTCAGAATTTTCATAATTAAAATATTTTCTACTATGCTATAAAAGAAATCTATAATTATTTGTAGTGTACTTTGATTCTCCACATATACTGTTAAATTTAACAGTTAAAATCATTTTATTTACTGGCTAAATTATCACTTCAACTAAATTTTGAGGACAAAATTAACAAAGTAGCAGAATTCAGGTGTTGTTTTCTTCCTTTTTTTAAAAAAAATATATTTTATTGATTTTTTACAGAGAGGAAGGGAGAGAGATAGAGAGTTAGAAACATCAATGAGAGAGAAACATCGATCAGCTGCCTCCTGCATATCTCCCACTGGGGGTATGCCCGCAACCCAGGTACATGCCCCTGACCGGAATCGAACCCGGGACCCTTCAGTCCGCAGGCTGACGCTCTATCCACTGAGCCAAACCAGTTTCAGCTTTTCTTCCTTTTTTAAATAAAGCCCAAACATAGCAAGACTCTCGCATATTATATTTTTCAAGTATGGCATTAATAAAAATGTGACAGCACAGTTGTACTTTACATTTTAGGTACACATAATGTAATTGTACTCATTTATTTCTTTTTTTTTTTTTAAGTTCTTAATTTTTTTTAATATATTTTATTGATTTTTTACAGAGAGGAAGGGAGAGAGATAGTTAGAAACATTGATGAGAGAGAAACATCGATCAGCTGCCTCCTGCACATCTCCCACTGGGGATGTGCCCGCAACCCTGGTACATGCCCTTGACCGGAATCGAACCTGGGACCCTTCAGTCCGCAGTCCGACGCTCTATCCACTGAGCCAAACCAGTTTCGGCTACTCATTTATTTCTTGAAACAATTCTGTGAGGTATATAATCTATAGTTGGCCTTGATGAGATGGTGACTTATTAAAAATCATTTCATTCTGTTGTTTTAAAGTAAAACTGGGACCAAACCCAAATTTTCTGAGGTATAGTCTTATTCAACATGTTTGCTATTTTGTAGGGAGTATGTTAAATAAAACATTTCCTTATAAAATTATTGCTGTTGTATTTATAAGATACACATTTTTTTAAATTTTGACATCTGAAAAATGCATCTCAAAGTTGATAGAAAAATACTATATTAATTGGTAACATTTTTCTCAGTATAGAATTTAATGATGAGGCTTAAAATTGATATCTTGGATTATACATGAAAAACAGTTACTAAGGAAAGCCCTTCTAAAGGCAGTTGCCAGGGAAACTCTAGGCAAGAAATAATCTTCTTTTTGTCAGTGTAATAGGAAAGGTATTGTTATATGGAAGGACGGGTTTTAATAGTTGTGAACCTTTCAGAATTTAAACATTTTTAAGTACTGGTATATAGGACTTTATGAAATTCCAGGATTGTCCTAGTGTAGTGTCCTTGAGAACTTAGAACCATCCATAGTGTGACATTCTCATGACCCTTATTACTAAAAGGGTATATTTATAACAGTTCATCCGATGTAGAAATGGTTTGTAATTACAGAGCTGTGACTTCTTTACCAGCCAGTCTTGTAGAACAAATGCTTTTCTGGCATAGTTCATACCTCTTTATGTGGAAGATATCTGTGTGTTTTGGGTTGTTGTTTTTTTTAGTATTAGAGGATGAAAAGAACTGAATTGTAACTTGATTTTTATAATGCTTTTTCTTTGCCGTCTAACTAAAGTTTGCTCTTTAGTTTTCATGACCATGTTCCTCAGATCTCTCACTTCCAGCAGAATATGATTCACGAATATTCTGTGTTATATAACAGCAGAATACATAGAAATGTATTATCTGGCTTTATTCATTGTAAGTGGTTGAAATTTATATCAAGCACTTGAAGATGGAGAGTATGATTTCTAAAAGTGTACTCAACTGACAATTAGTATGGAATACTTTTGGAATTCAGTTTGATGAAAATGCCCTTATAACATTTTATCTTTTATTAATCTGATATGAATTATAACTAATTCTTTAGTTAATAAATTATTCAGAGGAGGAAAATGCAGAGCAAAGAATCAAAACAATTGTGTGTATATAAATATCTTTGGATTGTGATTTTTAGAAGAAGCATGAATATCTCTTATATCTTAGTAATTTACTGTTTTTCAAAACGTTGGGTTGTTTCCCTATTCATCTATAATACTTTCTTGTTTTAGTTCTTTCTTCCTCCCCTTGCACACTTGGTTTCTCCCTGTTCTATTCATCCCCTTTCAGATTTAGGCAAAACAAAAAACCTAAGCAGAGTTATCCTCTTCACCCCCAACACATTGTTTCTGTTACATAGCTTCCCTGAGGAAAGATAAGTATGTTAAAGAGCTTTTAAAAACAAAACAAAACAACTTTCCATCTGGTTCTTAGTGATCTAGGGAAAAAGATATGTGATAGTAGTGATTTACAGAAGGCATTAAATCTAAAGCAGAGACAGCAACACAAGCTTGAAATGAAGATCTGCAGAGATGAAAATGTATACTCATAGTGTGCCTGTCCTAAGTTCAGAAATGGCCATTACTAATTTTATTATAGCCTTCATCATAGTATAATTTTAGCATTGACAGATCGTCATGTCTTCTTGCATAAGGTCATGATTTCATAGATGGGGGAAAAATTTAAGGCTCAGAAATTGTGCTAGTCAGATATATCATAATTAAAGAATCAATTATGCAACATAGGAATCTCAGAGTAATTTAAATCTAACCACTTTAAAAAATATATTTTTATTGATTTCAGAGAGGAAGGGAGAGAGAGAGAAACATCAATGATGAGAATCATTGATCAGCTGCCTCCTGCATGTCCCACACTGGGGATTGAGTCTGCAACCCACTCATTGCCCTGACCAGGAATCAAATGTGACCTCTTGGTGCATGGGTCAACCCTCAACTGAGCCACGCCAGCTGGGATCTAAATACTTTTAAAAAAGCTTTTTGCTATTATTGATAACCTAGGGCAGTGATTTTTAGATGTTTCTGAAATGTCTTTGGAGGGTTTACATGGACATGGGGATAGACCAGTCTTTCCTATTTCAGTTAGAATTTTGCACATTTTAAATATATAAAATTTCCACGAAATTTTGTCTAAATTCTCAAAAATAGAATTTAAATTTAGAGAACTGATATTGAGAAATAGTCAAGGACAGGGATAAAGTAAAGTTTTAGCAGCCTTTTTGAAGTGATTGGATGGGAGTTATTTTCAAAAAATTCTGACTGAGTTGATTTTATGGTGCCCCAGTAAGGTGTGGGTTTTATCTGAAGTGCAATTTTTACTAATTGAAACTCCTTTATTGCTTCTCTAACTCTTTCTTTTAAGGCCTGGTCTAAAATCAGTTACTTGGGTGCATACAAACCTGAACTTTAAAACTACTGAAGTCTCTTTCATAGTACATATGTAAAA